AAAAATACAATTATAAAATGAGATTTTCCCATATCCATTGCAATGCAAAAACATGTACAAACAACTAAATTATCTACGTGAAGAAATAATTAAAGCAATAAAAGTTAAACTTAATGAGTTCCAGAAGCACTGAGAAACCTCAGCTGTAGCAATTAAGTATTTAAAGGAAATTATTAAAATAAACATAAAAACAATAAGCATAAGCAGCTTAAGAATATGTAACTATTTTTGGACTCTACACACATTTATATAAATAATAATAATTTAAAAATTGAGTACACATTATATTTTAAAACAACACAACTACTAAGCATAAGTACGAGTACTTTTTTGTAATTAAAAGCAGTAATGTTAAGCGATATTATACATTTCCAAATATTTCTAAAAATAACATTTACACATATGTATATAAAAAGTTAATAAATAATTATTGACCTTAAAACATACAAATAAATACAAAATTATGTATAAAAGCACATAATTATAATTAATTAAGTTAAAATGTATTTTTATATATTTTTAACTGAATTGCAAGTAATTTTACATTGAAATTTTTTAAGATACATATTTGATAAGATATAAAAAATAAAATTAAAACTAAAAAAATATATATTTTCATTACATAAGCAAGTTATTTAATTTTTTGACTTTTTACATTATAATTTCGCATTTAAAACAAGCTTCCTACGAACGTTCTTTGGCTACAGCAATCTCTCTGTTTAATTCGGTATGTTAATAAGATGTGCCTACTATGTTAATTAGCATTACCTGTTGAAGCTCACACATAAGACTGCTAAATTAACATTAACYGTGATTTCATTAGCAGGTTCTGTTATGGCTTAACAGCGCGAAAAATTGAAAAATCAAATGTGCAAAATCAGCATGAATCGCCTGCTGCTATAACAAGCGCCCATAATCAGCAAGTAAGTTGCTTGTCCAGCGAAAAATCGSCAAAATGCACCGATTTTAATAAATTTGGTATCAAATGCATGAGCGAAACTTAACGCTTCTGCTTAATTTAACGTTAGTTTGAAATGTAAAATGCGTGTATTGTAAAGATGCAATTTTTCTGCATAAGATTTTGTTTTAGTTAATATAAAGCTTTTTAGCCGCTATTCATATAATTTGGACAATGAATTTGTTGACCACTATTATTAATTGTAAATTTTTATTAAATTAAGCTAWGCTGAGTTTCTAATAATCATTAAAAGTGCGTAAATTTTACAAGTAACCATGAAAGAACGTGCCTTTGGTATTATTTTTAGACCTTTTATTTAATTTATTAATATATGATAGTCTTAAAATATTTCAAACAGAAATCAAAATTTAAATTCCTCTTTCTCTGGTCCTTTGCACTATTGCTTATCAGATACACCATGATTTCAGCCTACAACAGGATAACATAACATAACTCAAAAAAGCTGAAGGTAAAATTTGTTACTGATGTGCTGAGAGGTCTGTAAAGTATTTGTGATATCTTGATTTTGGMATTTGGGTTCAAAAATTCTCCATCACTTGCAGTTATTTTTGTTATTTTAGCAAATGATTGTAGTTTGATCATTGATGATTGATTAAAATACAAAAAAACTGAAATCCAGTATTTTTGAATTGAACTGGAGCGTTTTATTTTGATCGATAATTTATTTTCATTTGAACYTAATTTAATAATAATACTTTCATAGAAACCGTAGTCTTTGTTAGCAAAAACTAGGGTAGTCGATTTTCACAAGCTTCTCCTGAGACTAATCACCAGCAAATTCCCCATAAACTCCCTCCAAACTATAGGGTAAATACAAATTTAATATGAAGTCAATCAAYCTCCGATAGCTTTCAACATGCCCTTATCGATGTGTTGGCGTTGTCCTGATGATGATTCTTTTTCTATTAGTCAAAACCAGGCTGGTTCAACTACTGACAATTCGGATGGAGAGGAGCAGCGCATTATAGATAATTTCCTTCCAATACCATCGAGATTCAAAGAATCTGAGATCTAAAAAGGACACGCAGCTGAATATTCGGCTGTCCTCGCTCACTTTGACTGCATTCCGGGTCATTTGGAACATGGAAGCGCCAAACCGAACTCTGGCGGCTCCTTCCCTGTCCTTACATATACCGCTGAGAGAGTTGTGGGTGGGAGAAAACCGTTTGAGGAAAGCGGCAGTGAGCTTCTTTACGGAAGGGTCAAAGTTTGGGTGAAAGGTCGGTAGAGGGGTTTCTGTCAGGAGTTCTCTATCAAATCCAGTTTTGGATTTCCTAACTATCGAAATGTCTTCCAAGCCGAGGTTGCCGCCATTAACGTAGCGGTAGATCTACTGCTCCAGAGTGCAGCCTCCTTCAGAGAAGTGACCATTCACTCAGATAGCMCAGCGGCGATACTAGCCTTAAACTCATTAACCGTGCGTTCAGGGTTGGTCGAAGAGTGCCTATCCTCACTATCAATATCATCAARTATCTTTGTGATAAGACTGATATGGCCCTTAGGGGAATCGCAGAAAATTGCAAAGCTTATAAGCTGGCTTGTGTTCTGATTCTAAATAGCTGGACTTCGCGGAAACTGTCACCTTTGGTCCAAGATTGATAGCAGAAGATCTAGTGATCTCTTTGTCTTCAGTAAGGCTAGCCTCCCCCTAGTTGTGGGGTTTTGAATAGGTCATTGCGTTATTGGCGTCTTTGCTGTAAGGTTGGAAATCTTACCAGACGCCATTTGCAGAAGCGGTATGGAAGAAGATTAGGTGGAAACAACCCAACACTTAGGAGCGCATACCTTCAGACATACCACCGAACTGGCGGGAATGAAAATTAAACGCCTTATTCAAATGGATCCAAATGGTATTTGCGCCATGTGGAGCTCCTTGGCAATCGAAGTACTACTGACATGACGATCGTACTCGACGATATCCATTATTTTATCGACATATGGTACTTCTTTACAATCAACATTTTCGAAACGAAATCGAATAACTCAAAACTGTGCAAGATTGGATCCTACAACATATATATATTATTTCTTTCGTATTTATTATACCACATACTCATCTTAAGAATATACACTTCTGAGGAAATAAAGAGTCAATCAACTCCCAAAAGTATGCATTCAAATTAACGTAATGTTTGTTAGATTACTATGGAGGGCAAAACTGGCTGCAGATAATAATTTTGCTGAACTTAAGTAAGAAAATTTKTATTAAACAATAATTTTAAAATTAATAGTGAAATGTATTAAATCACAATTTTTTGATTAAAAACTCTGCTTTAAGTCTGCTTTAACTTCTTTAACGCTGTTCTGGTGAAAGTCTTTTCATGATGAAATGCCAAACAATACAACAATATATGACAGCTTGAGAAGACTCACGTGTGATCTGTCAAAAAAGCGGATTCAAAAAATTATCTCTACTTCAATCACCCTCTAATCATGTATATATGTACATTAAATGTTATCATTATTGCTTTTAATAGGGCCASTGTAGTGACACCTCACATATTTAAGTGACTTGCCGTACCACATCGAGCATCAAGCCTATCGATAAACTTTGATATAATTATGCAACACTAAACGTAAATTATGGGTCTTCGTTTATAGCCGACCCCCTTGGCAATATTCAAGCCCTGGAGTGCATGTACATGCTAGTATGAAAATGTGTGAACTTGTTTCTGTGCGTGTGCTTGATATGTTATATATATAACAAAGTGAATAACAACAACCAGTTTTACAAACAAGATTCAAATATTTCTAGAAAAGCGAATCTTTGCGGCTTATGTATTATGTAACACAGGAAAAAYTCATCAGCTCAATTATCTCGCTGAAGGCACTTACACATATTCCACAGATTTAAAATTTTGAGCAGCAATTTAATTATAGTTTAGCGTTGAACACATAACACTTTAATTTCTTTTTTTTTTTTCAATATTGTAAAGGAGGCACAATATTATTTTTATTCAAAAAGACTCGACGGCCGCTGTTTTCTAAATATTTTTTAACAGTTCTTGTAACATGAGGCCGGGCGTTGTCATGATGAACAATTAATGATGAGCTGTAGTCGATAGCGTACCCCGTTAATGGCTTCAACCAATTGTAGATCCTAACTAATTTGGAGTTTGATATTGGCGTCAAAGAAATTGAACATTTTTTAGTGAAAACAAAAAGAGTATTGTTGTTTCTCTTGTGAGCAAAAAATAGAACGACTTTTTAATTTAGTTTTTAATTTGAGGGGGACGACATAGATTTTGCAGAGTAAATTAAAAATTTAAAAAATATGAATAAA